CCCTCCCTGTTTTCCTCAGCAGACTTACCAGCCACACACTGCTCCCCAAGCTGCCGGGATGCATATCGGCAATGAGATTGGTATCTGCCGATATGGCTGGTTAATAATCAACCGTGGGTATCGGCCCAAAAAATCTTTATCAGTGTACCCTTATATTATGGCAAAACTTTAGAATATAGTCACATCATTTACTTGATCTCTCTGACCACCGTTTAAAATGTTTTGGTTCCTCTTTTTGAAATTGCTTATTTAGTGTAGTAATCACACCTTATTTTATTCCAGGGGCTTGAAAAATACCATATCTGCTCAAATATTAGCTCACTCCCCCAATAATTAGATTCTATAACAGAAAATGTATAAATTTGTTATAATTTTCCAATATACTGGATTTAATTATTGGGGGGCTCCCCTTGAATTTGTTCCCTTCCCACAGCTACAGCAGGGAAAATAAATGTTGCTGGGGGGCAGGAGAGAAGAGGGAGGGCTGGGTAGTCCTCTTGTTCTCTGCCCCCTCAATTTCTTCTTTCAACAGCCCCTTTTCTCCCCCCACCTCTTGCTGTCAGACTCTGCTCTCCCTGAGCACATGGAAGTGAGGGGCAAATCTTGAAAACACTGACCTTGAAATAAGTACACCTGTAGTAATTTGCATGTAGGGAACTTAACACACATGCATCAATTCGAGATAAGCTAAATCTATGAGCATTTTTGAAACTGCTGCAAGTTTTAGCACAGGAACTCTGTAAACACTTTTAAGCAGCACTTGTCTATAGTTAGGGATTTACCTTAATCACTGCAGAAGTTTGTGGCACAATGGTGCTTTCAATTTTGCTCTCCACCCACCTCTCTTCCACTGAGTGGCTGAAAAGCAAAAGCTGCAGCATTAATTACCTCTTGACCACTCTGCGGGGGAAGGAGGAATGAGAGTGAGAGTAAAGGTGCGACTGCATGACAAAGTTCAAATGGGAAATGATTAGAAGAGAAAGATGCCCACTAGGGAAGTTTTCCTGATTTCCTAGTTAACAGATGAAGCCACCTTTTGCTTAGGCATCTGAATTTGAAGCTCTCCAATGTCTTGCTTCCTTCTATAAGAGAAGTAGTTTTTCCACATTTCATTCTCCATGGGTGTTCCTGTTGCTGTCAGGCAGGTTTGTGAGTTTTTGTGTTACCACTCTTCTGGTAGACACCACCTATAATGGGAGTATTTCTCTCCCCTCCTCCTTCAATTTCTTGTCTTCTGAGGAGAGAGGATCTTTACTACTTTACTTTCCTAAACTTCAGCATTTTACGGTTCCTCTTTAGTGAAGAGCTCCAGGGCCTGCCTTTGCTGCAGTTTACATCTTTTCAAAGTAGAGGTAGAGTGAAACTAATTTGATTTTTATTGATTTTCATGGTATAATTCTGTACAGAAAGAAAACTGACAATATTTTTTAATGATTTTTGGGCTCTTGTATAGTGAGAGATGGGTAAGAACAATAACAAACGTGCTGAAACTGCTTAGAGTGGATAAAAATCAATGGTTTTTTTTTATTTAATTGTTTTTGGTTTTTTTAAAGATGCTTTAAAAAAAACCCAACCTATATAAGTATTGTTTTAATTTAGGAGATGTTAAATCTTAAAGATATCATCATGGATTAGGGATTATAACTTCTAATTTATATACTATTTGAGACAATATATTTGTGTAACCTTTTTAGAAAAGTTTTACAAATGGGTCACAATAGATCATGGACTATATTAGAGGCACAATCTTATGGGGTTTCCAGAGGCTTCTCTGTACATTAGTAAAGATTAAAGGAAACCACTCTACCCAGTGGGACTCAGTGCTCAGACCAGAAGATCCCATTAAGTATCTCTGATGCTTAGTTTCAGTTCTCAAACTGGATTTGTCTCCAGAGATAACAACATCCTTGTTAACAGCAGTATATGGAGGTGAGAGATAAGAGACCTGATTACCAGGGATTCTGGTTTTCTCTGATTTAAATAAATTCCCAGTTTTCAGTTAAAAACGTAACCCCACATTTTCTCATGATTTAAATGAAACACCATATATAAATATAAATAAAAATGCATTGTGCCCTATGTTGTGCACTATATATATAGTGGTGTTTCTTTTTAATCACAGAAAAATGTGGATTTGGGTTTACTTTTTTTAATTGAAAATTGGGGATTTTTTTAAATAGGAGAAAACCAGGATCCCTGCTGATTACCTACCCATTGGCCCTATTGTTTCTCTGCAAGTTTACCTGTACACATGTACACAGAGTCAAGCCCTTATGTCTCTCTAAAAGTGCAAAGTTTCAAGAAATTAAATGAATAGAGGATTGGGGATGGAGTAGATCTGGCAAGGAGTAAGAGTCTGGAGATGAATGCATGGAGAGATGGGCAGTAGAAATAAAAGAAACATTTTGATCAGCATTTTATTGAAAATACAAAATACTTCCATAACGACCGCTTTGCAGCAGCTGTCCTGAAGAAGGCAGGTAGAACCAAACTAAGTCTTCCATAAGACATGTGATGGAACTCGGTAGTAGACTGTTTTGAGTGATATATTGAGATCTGGCTTAATCTGATAACAATTTGTGAACAAAATCATGACAAAATAGATGCAACAGAGAAATGTTAGAATAGTCTGTTTACATCCTGCTTTACCACCAAACAGCTTTGAGGTAAACAAACTATTCCAACTTTTCTCTGAGCCTAATCTGCCTATAAAATGAACCGTTCTAAACAGGAGATTTTTACCACACCTTTAACTCTCCTATGAAATAAGAACTTTTGTTTCTACCCAGGAGGACTTTTACAATCTTTTCTCTGATGCCTGAAGAAGGGTGCATGTGCCCAAAAGCTATAATTAAAGAACTTTTTTGCAAAAATCTAGTTGGTCTAATAAAAGATGCCACCTCTATCACGAGTTTTGATTCCTTTTGCCTCTAGACTAGTATGGCTACAACCTGGATATCAAATAACATGAGTGCACTTTTTGTAGAAAACAATGATTAAATTGAAGCCTCCTGACCAGTGATTTAAATCGTGATTTAAATCAAATCCACCCTGCTGCTTAGAAGAAAGAAGGCAGCATTGGGTGTATCTACATGTGCAATTAGCATGGAGCAATAAACTGTGGTGCAGTTTCCACCAGAGTCAACAGCTCCCAAGCTGGCATAACATATACATGTGTGACCAGGGCCCCAGCAGTTAGAGCTTGAGGGGAAGCCGCTCTGGGTTGTGGTGTCGAGCGGCAGAGGAATGGCTGGCTGGGACATGAGGGTGCAACAGTGTGGAGTCAGCTGGCAGGCAGCCCTTGCACTGTAGCACACTCATGCCCTGCCAGCCTCGGTCACCAGCTACACGTGTGTTGGCAGCATAAATTACTCTGCCATAGGATACTACCTGTCCTGGACAGTATTATCCTATGTTGGAGGTAATTAATTTATTGTGCCTCAGTATGAACAAACATGTGGACAGGGATGCTTTACTACGGAGCTAATTGGTTAACCCAGTGATAAAGAACCCATTGTATTAGTTCATTTGTAGAAAGCTGTTTTGCATCTATGAAGGCCTAGGAATAAAAAAAAAAAAAAATATAGAGAGAGAGAAAGATCTTCAATTCCGCATAAATTGAATGTAGTTTCCTGGGAAAACTTCTGGCTGTGTATGATGGGAGGAGGGTGGATTTTTTGAAATTCTAGATAAACCTTCTTTCCCTTTTTGGTTTTAATCTACAGTTTGTTTGTTTGTTTGTTTGTTTTTTCCTACTTCACAGATAGTGATAGCAGTAGCAGTAATGAGTTTATAGTGTCTAATTTCTCTCCATTTTTCTTTCTTCACATATTTCCAAAATGTATAATTTTGAATATACATGCATATCTTACAGAAAAGGGAAAACTGTTTTAAAGCTGAGCGATCTATCAATATTCCTTTACAGGGAAAAATCATTTTAATATTAAAAATTACCCCTTGCATAAAATAAATGCAAAGTTGTCTTAACTATTAAAAAAGGCAAAGGAACAGATTATATGTATATTTTGGATTTGCTCCAGAGATAGTCATGAGAGATCCCAACTCTCACTTCCTGAATACCCATGTGTCCTGTTTCATCTCAGAAGCTCCTTGACATTCATACATTCATTAACTAGCCACTCTGTGGAATATTTCTTTGTCCCTACCCCTGCTGTTTGAACAGTACCTAACATGGTGGCAGCAAATGATGAGAAGGAAATTTATGAGCCACCACAAGTCTTAAAATAAAATATATTTGGCATTAATATTTCCACATTAAAAAGTTTTATATGTAGCTAAGTAAGGATTTGACTTGAATACAGAATTAATATAGCTTACCATCCAGAATGAAGTCAGAACAAGCAGCGTGTGTAATGTGATATGGGAAAGAATTTTAGCTAGAAGGCCATGCGAGTCAGAGATAGGAGTACCCTAAATTAAGAATAAGGCTGTATAAGACATTACTCTTAATATCTTTGTCCCCATGTTTTGGAGGCATGTTCTTTGTGCACCCTCCTTAGTGTATATTGTAGGTTTTTTCTTTCTTTTGGTTTTTTGTCTACAGAAAAAAGTTAAGCAAGTTTTGTTTGGGTACTTAGATATAGGTTTGGGGATTTTTTGCTTTCTACTTGAAAAGGCATAGAAATAATTATAATCAGGTCAGTGCAGTAGCCATTTCAAGAAATAGCTTTTAAATTTGCTAGGCCTTGGGGCTGAATTTTCAAAAATGCTGAAGTCCCACTTAAAATAATTTTTAAAATTCCTCTAGTTTAATCTAACTTCATTGAGCATTTTGTTTCACTTTAATTTATATTTTCTCTGTAAACAGATGGTTGAAATATGAAAATAGCATTTATGAGGAAGCAGCATAGAACTTAACAGTTCTAAATCCTTGGATATTTATTAACTTTTCCTTTTAACTTCTATAGCTACATTCTTTGAACACATGCATATAAAATGGCAGAAGCATTTTTGGCTCATTTTGAAGAGCAGGCAAAGTTTGAAATGATGTCTTTTGTGAATACTTTAATGGGGTAAGGCCCATTAATAGCATTCTAATGGTGTAGGAGTTTGATATGAGAGAGGCTTCTGCCAAGACAAAAACGGTTGAACAGTACTTGAAAATAAATGATTGATTTATCAAATTAACATGTCTGTTGCTTGTCATTTATAAAAGTTTCTTTTTTCTTCCTGTGTAGGGGGTCTTTTATTCTAGTATCTCAAAGTTCTTGATGTTCATATTTAAATAATAAACCAGGAGAGACTTGTGATAATCTTGCAGTCTTTGCAAAACAAGGGAAATTAAAAAAACAAACAAACCCTTAAAAATCTTTTTAACGTCTCAAAATATTGAAAGCATCTTAATTTACAGGAAACTTTGTGGTAGAGCTTAAAATTCAGTGTTTTGCATTTTGATCAAAACTTAAAGCATGAGGCAGATGCAAGAGTGAGTACCGTGATTGTTGGTAACTTAAGAGCTTATGCCAGTGCAAAGATAATATGTAAAACAAATTACTATTTTTGCAGGTATGGTTCTTCATCTACAATTTTCATGAAAATTGTCTCTCTTTTTCAGAAAATGGAATAATCAAATCAGAAAAAGTATTTGATGTAATGTTGGCCACAGACCGTTGCCACTATGCAAAATGCAACCCTTATATGGATTCTCCTCAGTCAATAGGTAAGAACATTTATGTAAAAGTTGTGTGTACTTCATTTGGTATAACTCAACAATTTAGTTGTATGTGTTAAGAACAGAATTAAATCTAAAAGTGCTTTAATTTTTATAGGAATAGTTTTAGTTCCTCATCAGCTGATCCAGTCAATATTTTTTATTCAAAATTTCAGTTAATGCAGGATGCAATAGGTGATCACTTTAATGATGCATCTGAGAAATGTTATAGCTCTTCAGACTTTTTTAGTTGTGTATAGTTTTGGGTGAAGGGTGCTATCAAACCTGCCTGACCCATTAATCTGGAGAATGAGGCATAGATCCTAGGGTTCTCACTTCCTAGGCAGGTACCCTAACCACTGAACCTAATTGCTAGCAGGTAAATGGAGAGTTTGTTTTTGCTTTGCTTTACACTGAAATCAGTGCTGTTGTCAATCATATGTATGGTTCAGGTAGATCTACCCAGGTAGAATAGGATTTGGGCCAAAATGATTGTGATCTTAGTCTTTCATTTCAAGTGAGAGAGATTTGGGAGTACAAGTTGAGCGAAGGATCCTGAACTCTTCTGGAACTTACTTCATGTCAATAGACCCTTAATTTTGTCTTTCAGGCAGAAGACTGACTGGTATAGAAACTTTATTAATTCCAAGTACATTTCAATGCTATATTAACTGACTAGGAGAGAGTAGTTTGAATTATTTTCTTAAATTCATTTCTGAGTTGGGTTTATCAGTCCTTTGGTTGATGGATGCACCTTTTGATATCTTTGTGACTAGTCTCGCGCTCCAGAGGAGGCTAGTACACCCTGTGGGGGTCCCGTGACCCGTCACACTACTCTAGCCATGGGGTGCTGCTTCTCACTCACCTACCATGCATGCATTAGATCAAGTTATTTGGTTGGAAGGGAGGCTGTGTAATAGGTCCCAGGGCAAGCCCTGGTTCCTCTAGGTGCCAGTTGGTTCTTCTGGGGCACCAGCTATGCCTTAAGGGCTAATTACGTGGCTCCATTCACCCCTTTACATCATGCCCATGCCTCGCAGAAGTTACCAGTTAATGGCTTTAGTGGACATTTGGCCCCAATTTGATGCCAGGCTACCTCGGGCCTTTACACCCTTGTCAGGGCTTTGGCCTTTCTGGCTCAGCCCCTTTTCTTTCACTGGTTCCTGTAGCTTAGTCCCACTGCACCAGACCTGGCTTCCAAGTCTCAGCCCAAGTCTTGCCCTCTCAGGCTGTGCCCTGCCTGGGCTCTGGGCCCCTGCTCCTGGTTTTGCCCCACTAGAGATCTCTGCCCTGCCTCTGGTATCAAGCCTCCTCCAGCTCCATCTGGGTCCCCTGGACTTGCCTCCGCTGCTCCTAAAGCAGTACTGTGGATTCTCTATTTTGAGAGTCCAAAGAATAGCTGCCCGTATGATCAGAGTCTTTAAAAGGCAAGCCATATGAAGAAAGGCTATGGGATCTGGACTCAGTCTGAGGAAAATAAGACTGAGAGGGGACCTGGTACCAACTTACTGCTGCACTAAGGGAGTACATCAAGGGCTCAGTGAGCAACGGGTTACCAGGGCACCCAAGGTGAAAACCAGGAGTAATGGCCACAAACTCCTGGAAAATCGATTCAGGCTCAAAATTAGGAAAAACTTCTTCACAGCCAGGGTGTGCAGACTGTGGAATAAGTTCCCTCCAGAGGTGGTGCAATCACCTACCTGGAAATCTTCAAGAAGAGACTAGAGAGTCACCTTGCTAGGATCACCTGGCCCCAGTTATTTTTCCTGTTTGGTGAAGTGGGCTGGACTCGATGATCTTCCGAGGTCCCTTCCAGTCTTTGAATCTAAACCTTTCTTGAGCTGGGTCTTCTGCCTCACCCTAAGCTTTGCCCTTCTCTGGGCTTGGGGCCCTCTGGCCCCAAATCCTGCCTTTTCTTGGGCTGTGGACCCTCTGGCCCTCCAGGCTCTGGGCCCTCTGTCTCCAATCTGTGCCTTGAGCCTGACCCCTGGCAGGGCTCAAGATGATCACTTGGGAACTAATGGGACCTCCAAACAAACCCTTAGTCCCTTCCACAAGCCACCAGGTAAAATACAAACCAGAACAGCAGCAGCACTGGCTACAACTTAGTTCTCTAGCACGCTGGCCATCTGAAATCCCCCATCCATACTGAGTCTCATTCCCTGCCAGCCCTGAGCTGCTTTTACTGGCCTGTCTCCAGGAAGGCAGGATCTCTATCAGGTTTTTTTCAGCAAGCAGCTTACTGTGGGGCTCCTTCCCCTTCTGCCTCCAGGGCCAGATTGCCCCCTCTGGGTCTGAGCTTATGTTTATATATCGCCCTGGCCCTGGCCCTGCCCCTTGTTGGTAACATGTCTCCCTGAGCTGCCACAAATTTTTCCTGATTTGGCTTGCTGGCTCAGCCTCAGGGTAACTTACTGCTGCTGGACCCTGCAGTGCTCCTGTACAGGACTCTAGTCCCTGATGCTACCACCACTGCTAGCGAGTGCTTACTTGGGTCCTTTCAACCACTGAGTCTGTTCACAGGGGCTTGGCTGGGCAGCAGGGCCCTGGGCTTGCTTTCCCTTTTCAGTAATGGAGCAGGGGCCCCATTACACCTTAATCATGCTTTTGAAATCTAATATTAATATGCAACTAAAAGAGCTACATAAAGCCTGATATGAGGGCTTGCATCATAGTATTGATAGAATTAACAGTATTTTCTAATTAAAATGCATAGGAATGTTAACAGTGATAATTTAGCTGTTATATCAGTATATTATATTTCCTTGTTTTGCAGGTTTTCAAGCAACAATCAGTGCTCCACATATGGTAAGTATGAGATTTATGATATGGAGTGGGTAGTGAAATGATTGGTACTCTAGCTGCTGCATAAAGAAATACTTTAACTGGTTGTTGATAATAGCAATAGTGTTTTAAAATACTGTCTCTCTAACTGTACTATTTCTTGTCAATATTCATAAATCCCTGTATGCAGTATTGTGATAATTTTTCTCCAGAGAATGCAATTATACTGAGATGTGTTTTCTTTGCTGGGCATTTATTATCAGACTGAGTCTTAAGCGGTAAACTTCAGGAGAAATTTCAGTACACTGATGTTGTAACACAGATACTAACCAGTACTTTGAAACTAAGAATCAATTTAAGTAGGAGTGCACGGATAGAGATTTTTGGGGCTGATACCAATAGCTGATATTTAAGGAGGTGTATCAGCCGATACCAATCCAATTTCCGATACAGCTGCGTCCACGTGGTAAGTCTGGTGTGGTGAAAGGGACGTGGGGGGATGCAGATAAATGCCCTCCGTGTCGAGGGCAGGCGCTGTTCAGGTCGGGGGGTGGGCTGGAGCTGCAGCTTCTGGTTGGGGGTGGCTCCCACCACTGCTTGCACCCTGGGAGGGCATGGGGATTGGGGGGTGCTCCCCGGATCCGTGTTGGGTGGAGTGGGCTGCAGCCGGGGCTGCGTGGTGCTCTTCTCAGTGGGAGCTGGACTCGGAACGGGTGCTGGCAGCGCTGGGAGGATGCTTCATCCATCCCAAATTTTGCTGCCACTCTGATCCCAGCACCGCCACTGCCAGCCGCCCAATTCCCCGCCTCCGCCAACATGCTGGGAAGAGTTGGGGCTGTGCCTGGTGGCGTCAGCACTAGGAGCAGAGCAGTGGTGAAATTTGGGGTGGATGCAGCATCCTTCCAGTGCTGCCAGCGCGCTCTCTGAGCCGAGCCCTGCCCCGTGCAGATCCAGGGGGCACACCACCCCATGCCCTCCCGGGGTGCAAGCAGCAGCAGGAGCCGCCCCTCCCCCCAGCTCTGCTTGCACCCCGGGAAGGGGCACCTGCCCGTGCCCCTTCCCTCACTGCAGGGGGCGTTGATCTGCCCCCACACACCCCTTCCCTTCCCCCTACCCTTCCACCACACCAAACTTACCAGCTGGAGGCAGCCCTCCATAATGCCAGCTCTGCTTCTCACTGCCTGAGTGCTGCGCTGTGGCTGTGCCCAACACGAGCATTTGTTGGCCAGATTATCAGCCCCATCAGGCCGATATCGGATGCAGCCAGTTTTCTGTATATCTGATACTGGTGCACCCCTAAAGTTAAGTATGTTTTTGCCCTTGCAGTAGATTATGACATCCATAGGAATACTTCACAGTTAGGGCGGCTAGGATCTGGAACCAACTTACAAGGGAAGTGGTGCTGGCTCCTACCCTGGGGGTCTTTAAGAAGCGGCTCGATGCCTACCTGGCTGGGGTCACTTGAGCCCAGTTTCCCTCCTTCCCCGGCAGGGGGTCGGACTATCTACAAGGTCCCTTCTGACCCTACTTCTATGATTGTATTTGGGAAATATAAGATTTGTGGAGTAAAGAACAGTTTAAGAAATTTCATAGCGTCTGTATTTGACTGGCTCTAGTGCTATCCTTTAAATTCTAAATATCTGTATTAAAACATTGTTATTAATTACCTTAATGTTATCATTGTATACAGGGCTATACCAGGAAATGACAATATTAGTAACTGTGGTGTTTCAGAATCTTAATGTTAGTCATCGCATTTCAGTTCGTCCTACACTTATACTGGTGATGCACAGGCAACACTTCAGTGTTTCTTTACACAGGTGTATATAATTAAACTACACTCACTAGAATTAGAACACTACACCAAGTGTTTAGTACACAACTGTACAATTAAAAAAAACTTAACCTTGAGAGAGTCTGTCCATACATCACTAAATTTATATCGCTGATTGGTCATAGTGTTTAGCATAGGGATTCCATATTAGTGTTCAGTCAAAAAAGCAGGATAAAAAGTAAAACTGCCCATTATGCATCTGTTTACAATTGAAAAAAACCCCCTGCAATGTCAAGAATTGTATTAGCTCAATAAGCAGTTTAGATGTATTTAATGGATGGAAAAAAACAATATAGTATATAAAGTAGTACCTAGCAAAATGGAGTCCTGGTCCACGACTGCATCTCTTTGCCCTTATGCCAATACAAATAAGTACTTTCTTTATAAATTTTTAATCAGTTTCGTGGTCATTAAATTAGTTGTTAGACATCTTAAATCTAACAGTGATATTATTCATATATTGAGATTATTTACAAACTTTAGACTTTTCTTGCCATTTCACTATGAGTTATGTTTAGAGTATTTTTGTTTTTTGCCCAATTCAGTAGGTTAAAGGGATGTTCTTCTAAAAAAAAAATAAAAAAAAAATGCTATTCCAAAGGTGAGAGAAACACTCTATTTATTTATTTATTTATTTATTTATTTATTTATTTATTTTTTGGATGGGTGCATATGGAAGGTTTGTTGTTTTTGTTTGTTTTTGCTTTTGTTTCCTGCCAAGTAAAACAGTAATAATTAAAGAGTACTCTGGAGACTTAAAGCTGCTATAAGAGTACTTATTAAAGTAGGGGATTCTGTAAGTAAGGGTCAGGTTCTATCAGCTGATAAAGAAAAGTAGTGCTGTTTCCTTCTTACCGTGCCTCAATTCGATATTTTTGTTATTCTTACTGTTTAGGAAGGGTTACTTCAGTCATTCTGTTGGTAAAAGATGTGGTTTTGAACATCCTATGCTATAACTACATTGACTTTACTATAGGTATCAATAACAACAGCATAATGAGACTGGCTTCATCTTCTACAGAATTACAGTTGGAAAAATCATGATTAGTCATCTGTGTTATGTTTCATAACTGCCTATTTTTGTTCCTTCTGAAATAAACCCTCTGTGCTGGGGACATCTATTTATCATTGCAAGACAAATGTATGTGGCCTGTGGGCGGGGGATTGAGCACCCCTGATTTAAGAAAATCACACTTCTCTTGTGACTGACATGTAAAAGTGGCTGCAGAATTGCCCTGCAAGTTTCTCAGTCTAGGTGGAAAACAGCAACATTCAAGCCTAAATTCAGAGATGGGTTATTCTGTAGTATGAAAAGCATATAGCTCTTCAGATGTTCTGCTCAGACTGAAAAATATGGATGGATATTGGGGAATGAAAGGATTATTCTTAATGTGGTGTTGGGAGGGGAAGGACTAAAGAAGGTTGATCCATCTAGCCATGCTGCTGCATTAGGAGGCTCTGTATGTGGGGTCCATGCAATATAGGGTTCAGGAGGGTATGAGTTGCTTACTTTTGCTCCTTACGGAGTAGTACCACACCAGTTGTGCTTCAAGAAGGCCTGGTACACCTGGGAAGGAAGGGGTTGAGTTTTCCCCTTATTGCATAAAACTAAAATTTGGCATTGTTGAAAGTAAATTAACCTTGGAAAAAGCATCTTGTGCGTGAAGCCTGTTCAGCTAGATTTAAACTACTGATCTAATGCATCATAAACTGAAATATGCCTGTAGAAATATGCAAATTATAGGCATGTAATTAACATCAGCATTTTTAAAAATGGCTTAGGACAGCTGATACTCTGGTATTTTGCTGTTGTGACAATGACACCCTCAGCAGAAATGCTGTTTGCTATTCATGTTGATGTATGAATAAGAACAATTGGAACTAGAAATAGAGGAACACCTACAGCCATATGCTAACTTTGGAAAGAGTATCTCACTGAACTTAGTATAAATATTCAGGTGCAGATTTTATTACAAGTGTGTTGTCTATCCTTAACATGACCAGGTCTCAACAGTGATCTGTCACGGACTTGGAGTCACAGTCGCTTGTGTTTCCAGGGTTTTCAAGTCATCTTTATTTGTTGATATAATTAGAAAAAAACTAGTAACATTTACATTTTCCTTTGTATTAGGATGAATTGCATGTGGCCAACTTAAAGATACAGAGGCCTGATGCTTGGATTTGCTTAATAAAATGCAAAGTAAATTTAAGCTGACTGGAAAATTCCTTTGTAGACAGACTCTTTGCTGGCACAAAACAGGAAGAAGTAGCTTTGCTGCCTGCTTTGCTGCCACCTGGTTTACCATATCTGTGCTGCCTCTGAGTAGAGAGATGGTGGAATGGGAAGGAGTAAGACTCCGTAATCTCCAGTTTGGTCCAGTTGGTGGCTGATACCATGTGTGGGGTGTTGTACCAGTGGTATAAATGAAAGCTAACTAGGAACAGCCTGAGCAGAATAAGGGAGCAGTATTTGGCTCCTGGCCAGTCCCTTTGCCGCACACAGGATGTGTATGGATGCAGCAGACAATTCAGCCTATAGAATGTGTTAGATGGAGTTCCTGACTAGTAAACTAATTATAGAGTGGGTATTGGTCAAACTGTAGCCATCCATAAATGATTGGTTCTGTTCCAAAGTCTTTGCTCCACTGAGTTTATGCTTGCTGTAAGGGAAAGTTGTGGGGGCTGACTTGGGAGGGAGGATTGTGGCCTTCTGGTGCTAATGTTGTTATATCTTGTTGATGCTGGCATTCCTTACAGTAACATTTAAATTACTCTAACCCAGGGCTGTCCAATTGCTATGTGGAAAGAAGCTGAACACCTTATGGGCCTCACCAGCAGGGGCTGCATGCTTGTGAGCTGCACCATGCCCCCTCCCCTCCTCCCAGCTACATGTGGATGCCCTCTCACACCACTGCACTGTGGACCTGTGCTCCACCCCCTGTACCCCATACATGCCCTTCCCCCAGTGCTGTCCCATGCACCTGTGTGGCCTCAGGCACATCCTCTGTTTCCTTGCCCCCCCCCACTGTGCTGCAGTTCTTCCCGCCCCCCGGCAGCAAAAGCCAGAGAAAAGTGCAGGAGGGAGCCTGAAGACCCCAGCTGCTCTTTTTAAAAAGCAATGTGGAGGGCAGTGGCTGGGCAGGAGCTTAAGGCTGCAACTTAATTCAACCTTTTTGGACATCTTTGCTCTAACCCAGGGGTGGGCAAAATGCGGCCTGCCAGGCCATTCTATCCGGCCTGCAGGGCCCCTAAAAAATTTGGAAAATTAATATTAATCTGCCCTGGGCTACCTGTCATGCGGACCTCGATGGCTTGCTGAAACTCAGTAAGTGGCACTCTGCCCAAAATAATTGCCCGCCCCCTAACCTGTTACAGCTGCCAAATGTTTTCCAAGATGTACTGTTACTTCCTGGCCAGAGCCGACCCAAGCAAGGTGCAGGTTCTGGGGGAAATCAGCCCATGCAAGGCCCTGCCCCTGCTCTGATCCCATGGGCCCTGGACCTGAAGAAGCTGCTGCTGCCGTTGGTGGCAGTGGAAGCTGAGGGGGTGAGTCGCAAGCATCTCCACCCAGCTCTGCACCACTACTGCTCCATCCAGCTCCACGGGGCCCCCCAAGGCGTGGGGCCTGGGGCGGTCGCCCCGATTTGCTGCCCTCCAGCGATGACCTTACTCATGGCAGTTGTGTCATAGCTTAGTTGAGCCACCCCTGTACCAACACTACTTCACATGGGGTGGAAGTTTTATCTGGTTACATATTTGTGCTACCAAAGCAGTATGAAGGACCTGGAATGTATCATGGGGGGAGGAGTTGTATGTCTGCCCTAATGCTTTTACTTAAAAGCAACCATTGTCTAGGTCAGTATTTCCCACACTTTTGATACCTGGGACACACTTTCTTTTTTTCTGGATTAAAGTTAATGGGTACACTTCACTCTTGTACCTGAGAAGGGGTGCGTTTGTTTCAAAGAGTGTAATAGACTAGCGAATTGCCTGTCAAGAATGATGAATGAATTTCAAATAACAAAAACAAACAGATTTTACTGTTTATATTTATAAAACTTAAATAAAATAGGCTGAACATTTGAAGAGGCCAGTCCCTTCCTGCACTTGCTCTCATTCAACGGGCTGGAGGTGGACCTGCCCCTGCTGCCGCCCAGCTACTGCCTGTGCACCTCTTTGTGAGGCAGGGGCAGGCAAGCTGTGTGCCTCGCAACAGCTGCCCACACCCCAGGTCTTCCTTTGCGCTGCCCCTGGATGCTTCTTTTCCTGCTTGGGGCTTGGGACAGGGCCACCACTGGTCGCCCACTACCTCACACCTCTGCCTGGCTCCCGCTTTTCCTCAGCTGCCCCCTCCCACTGCCCTCCCTGCCACGCTAGGCTCTCAGTGCCCTCCCGGGAGGAGCTCAGTAGAAATGGCCCTGGCCCCTGACTTTTTTCCCCCAATTCTGGAAGTTGGAATCATCCTCACGTGGTCACTAAAAAAAAATGCTAAGGTTTAGCAAAGAAATTTCTCTGAAGACACAAATGTTCTGTCTCTTACAGTTTTCAAGCTATTTGCATTTAAAGAGCATTACAGACAGACACAGAGACAGACTGACTAAACCCTATAGATAGATGGATTGCCTGTCATGAATGATGGATTTAAAATAACGAAGGAGTGTTTACATGGCCACCCCACCTCCCGTTCACCCTTTGGGGCCGACCATGTAAACACTCCCTGTACTGCTGCCGCCTCTTCTTCCAGCCACCAACCGCAGGGGCTCCTTCCCTCTGCGTCCTCCTCTGAGCAGCAGGGTTTCCCCCTGCCTCCCCTCTTCCCACTCCCCTTTGTCCCCACCATCTCCCCCTCCGTGCCAACTGTTGGGTGTGTGCACGCCTGCCTCCACCTCCTCCCCACCCAGGCCCACTCAGCCAGTTGCCACTCGCACTGTAGTGGCGCATGTGCAGTTGACCCAAAGCGTTACAGACGGACAGATGCAGACAGATGCATGGACTAAGCCCTTTATTACAGGGGTGGGCAAAATACGGCCTGCAGGCTGGACCTGACCCACAAGGCCATTCTGTCCAGCCTGCGGGGTCCCTAAAAATGTTTTTTGAACATTAAAATTTATCTGTCCTTGGTTCCTGTCAAAGATGCCAGGAGGCAAGGGCAGTAGGACCCAAGGGAAGCCCGGCTGGCTCCTGCAACAGCAGGGTCTACCTGACCCGGCTCCCGTGGTCTGGGACCACGTGGCTGCACTGGTGTGGGGAAACTTGGGTAAGAGAGAGGAGGGCAGGGGATGAGCTGGTGCTGAGCATGGGGAAAAGCGGCCCCTCCCCTGCCCTGTGGCCCGCGCTCCCTGTTGCAGCCACTCGCAACCCACGTGGGGCTGTCCTGAGCAGGCACAAGCAGTCCCACATGGGCTGCGAGCAGCTGCAGCGCAGGGCACTGGCCATGGGGCGGGCAAGGGGCCGCTTTTCCCCACCCCCGTGCTCAGCACCAACTTGTAACCCAGCCCCACGCTGGTTCTGGGCTCACCCATTGGGGCTGCACCGTGATGACAGCAGCTAGGGGCCCCCCGCCATGCTGGGCAGTGTGTGCTGCTGCTGCCCACCCGGAGCTTGCGCTGTGATAGGCTGTGGTGAGGCTGCCAACTGCCTCCTCGCGCTGCCTAGCATGCGAGCTCCAGGCAGGCAGGCAGCAGCAGCAGCAAACACTGCCTGGTGTGGCAAGCTGGGGGGCCGCAGCTGCTGCCATCGTGGCACAGCCCCAACGGGCAAGCCCAGAGCTGGTGTGGGGCCCAGGCTGGCAGCAGGGGTGGGTTACAAGCTGGTGCTGAGTGCAAGGGGAAAAGCGGCCCCTCCCCATGGCCGGCGCCCCGCACTGCAGCTGCTCGCACCCTTTGTGGGGTTGCCTGGGCCTGCGCACGGGCTGCGAGCAGCTGCCCCGGGGACTGCGAGCCATGGGCCGGGGGAGGGGGCCGCCTTTCCCCGTGCTCTGCACCAGCTTGTTTCCTGCAGGGGGTCGGGGCTGTGTGCTTCCCCCCTGCCTGTACCACAGGGCTGAGGGGGCACTGGGAGCGAGCGGGCGCGGGAGCACAGGGCCAGCACCAGCAGGGCCCAGAACAGGGCAGCGAGGGTACAGGGTTCCGGCCGGCTGAGGCTCTATGGAGTCGGGCCAGCTCCCCCTCTTCCTGCTGGTGCGGCCCAGGCAGGCTTCATAGACCCCTGCCAGCCTGAGCCCTGCTCTGGGCCTCACCGGTGCTGCCCCTGGGACATTGATCCCAACATGGTGACCGGGGGCAGGGCACCTGTCAAGGGGTGGGGCTACCCATGCAGCCCTTGACAGACTGCCAAAACTGGGTAAGTGGCCGTCTGCCTGGAATAATTGCCTCCCTCTACTTTATTATATTAGAATTCCATTCCTCTGCCAAAGGAAACTGAACCAGTGTTGAGAGGTACTGTTAAATTGTGAAGTTTTTGGGGTTTGTTTTTTTTTTAATCTGAATTTCATACCATCCTAGTTGAAAATCATTGAGATCTAAATCAGAAAAGATATGGAGGAGGCCTTGAGGCTAAAAAGTTGAGAATCCCTGATTTAGGTGGTGCCACTTAAGGGTGGTGGGACAGAATTATGCCCTCCTCTTTCTGCTGTCTGCCCCCTGCTGACCTGTTGTCTGTACCTCGGGGGGCAAAAGCAGTCCCTGCCGCTGAGGATTTTTCTACAAGATTTTACATGCCAGCAACTATCACTGTGGCCCCTTCCAACCCTGGCAGTGTGGAAGGAGTGGAGGGGATGGGCTTGGCTGCAAAGTGCATCTGTCTGTGTCGGCAGAATTCGCTACTGTGAGTGTGAGGGTGACCAGCATCGGGGCTGCCAGGAGGGAAGGCAGCACTAGCAGTGGCAGTCCCCAGGGTAGCTGGGGCAGGCACAGGGTGCTGGAGAGGGAAGGAGGGCATTTATCTTCTCATGAAGGGGGATGGATCTTATGGCATACTTCCATTACTTCCGTGGTAAGCTAGTATGTTGTGACGTACCCTTTTGGAATGCAGTGATCTGGAGACCATAGTCTGTTTTTTTGTGGGATCAACTAAAATAGTTGAGAATATTTTGATATGTTTTAAACTTAAATGAGAAAAGCATCAAAATAATAGTTTTGCTGTGGCACAAAACGTAACAAGAATACAACATTGAAAGTTGTTTTCTTAAAGCAATCCAGGATTATTATGTATTACTTTAAATCTTTGAAGAATTGAATATTCACTGGGGGAAATTAATCCTTTAAAATACTACAGACCTTTTTGTCTTTCTTTTTATCAGCATGCATACGCCCTAGAACTTTTATCTGAACAGTTGCATGAAGGAGCCAAAGCCCTTGATGTTGGATCTGGAAGTGGAATTCTTACGGCATGCTTTGCACGAATGGTGAGAAACCTAATTTTAACCACTTGAACCAACCAGAACATTTCAATCTGAATATTTGAATTATAATTCTGGTTAAATTTTAAAGAAAAATAGGAAGATGAATGCAAAATTTCATGATTACCATTTTCTTTATATGAAACAGTCTGTCCTCCTTGCTTACTACTAGTCTCAATTCTGTATTTCTCCTGTATCTTCTTTCTCAAGGTAAAGTGACTAGAACTAAACATAAAACACATGGTACTAACAAATGAGTGCACGCTGTTGACTTGTATTATATTAGTTCCTTGTCTAATCATCCTACCTTTTATTTTTTTGATCACTGCTGGAGAGTTAGAAGTAAATTGAACTATCTGTCTTGACACTTAGAGAAGTGAAACTAGAATACAACACAGTTTGGGAGTGACTACAAGGAACAGTTTTTATACTCAAGTACATTTGGTCTTTTTCACTTTCATTGTTAAATCAGTTGCAGATGTTGATGTAACTCAGGGATGGGCAATTATTTCAGCTGAAGCGCCTCTTAATGAGTTTTGGTGAGCTGTTGAGGGCCACAAGGGTAGCCCTGACCCTTGACAGCTGCCCTGCCCCCTATTCACCATCTTGGGACTGGAAGTCCCACCCCTAACTCCTGACCTTTGCCAGCATTTGGGGGGGAGGGGGTTGCCATCTTAGAACGGAAAAAACCCAAATCGTATACTAAAAATCAAACATCTACTATAACGTAGTTTAATATTATTTCAAAAAATATTTTTGTCCTGATTTGTGTGTGTTTGCATAGTGTATATAGAGCCCATTGCATAATAGCTCAAAATGAAGTCATACTCTTGTATGTTGGGAGGGTGTGGGAAGTAGGGGGTTTGTGGGGAGCTGTGTGTGTGGGGGGGGGGTTGTGGAGGGGTGTGGGTGGGGATGGAGTTTGTGGAGGGATTGGTATGTGGGGTGTGGGGGAATATGAGTGTGTGCTGGTGGGTCTGGGGTTTGTGGGGGCGTGGGGGGATGTGTATGATGGGTGTGCAAGTTGGGGAGACCCCCCTGTAACTTATAGACCCCCACCTATAAACACACCCTCCCCCCATTGCGCACAGCCTCTGCCGCCGCCAGCAGCAGCAGGCCCTTGAGGTACCTACAGGTTGCAGCAGGCAGAGCCCCCTGGCGGCATGCAGTCCTGGTAAGCCCCAGGACTGCCCGTGGCTAGGCTGCTGGTTCTGTTGCATGGGGCTCACATGCAGTTCCTGGGTTCTCCACCCAAGCCCCGCACTGCTGGGGGGAGCCCCGCACAATGAAGCCAGAGGCAAAGGTCATGGAGCTCAGTCAAGGAGAGAAGCAGAGCCACTGTAGCTCCATAGTGTGGAGCTCCCTGCTGTTCCCCATGACCTGCATGTGGCAGTGAGCGGGGCTGGGCCACCAGTTCAATTGTATGGGGCTCCCCCAGGAGGCGCACAGCTTGGGTGAAGGACCTGGAACTGCATGTGAGCCCAGGGGAGCCCCGTGCAATGGAGCCAGGTGGACCACACACCTTGCCAGTGTGGCGAGGTTTCTGCCACTCCACTCCTGCCTGTTGCTGCTTCCCTTCCAACCACCTGCTCATTGTCACTCTCCCCCCGCCCCCCCTTCCCCTGCCAACTGCCACCATTTTGGCCCTCTACCCTCCCGCCCCCACCTGCTGTTGCCACCCTTGCCCTGCCCACCACCACCACTTCCCTCCCTGTATGGCCAGGGTCAGGGCCATTCAGTGGGTGAGGGTGGGAGCACAGTGCACACAGCAAGGGCAGCCCAGGGCTGGGCCGGATACAATGAATTGGTAGGCACATGCCCACAGGTGGCTAAATCACCTGGCGGGTTGGATGTGGCCCACAGGCCGTATTTTGCCCACCCCTGATGTAACTGGATTAGAAATTGCTGAGGCTTAGCAGAAGCTAAGATTTTCTTGGTGTCTATTTTTCTATCCTCTCTAGTGCACCAGTTAGTTAAAAGCTGACTCCCACTTCTGTGTTGTTTTTTGATGTCACATGATTAAAGGTCTGTTCTTAATATTGCTGGATTACATAGAAAATTATAGAAGTAAAACTATTGCCACAGCCAACAGGTTTCATAGAGAGGGAGGTTGCATGTGACCTAAACATGCAATTATTGCATCATGGCATTTCCCAACCCCCCCGCTCCTTTTTTCACACACCCACTGATGATGTTTCACTGACTAGTCTCAAGTATTCAGTCTGGCCTGATTTAACAGTCTTTGGAAAATGCTGATCAAGCATAGGAATTCCAGATCATTTTGCTGAACTCATGGCAGGTTTTCCCCATCAATGAAAAGGAAGTGGTTTTCCATTTGGCAGGTGTATTCAAGGCATTTTCTATGCATATTTGGCCAGATTGGAAGGACCTGGGATTACCATTTATGAGCACTTCTTAATCTGCCTAGGATATGCTGATGACACAACTCCTTGTTATTAATACCAATGCAATGCAGTGGATGTTGGAGTTGGTGTTAGGGGAGTTAGGGGAAAAAGATTAGAGAGAAATGTGGGTTGTTATCAGTCATGCATCCTACCAGGTCAGATATGCATATCGGGACGTTTGATTCTGGGGATCTGAGATAAAATTACTCAGATCGTATGACATGCACTCATAACTTTTAAAGCTGTACTGTGTAGCGTGGCAGTGGGCACTGGTCCCTGAAGCCAAGCTGAATGGCACAGCTTTTAAGGTCCAGGTGTCTGTGGAGACCAGGATTGCCCAGGCTCCCCATGCACTGGCAAGTTTAAAGCTGCAGTAGGACTTTAAATGGTCATTAAAAGGGGCTCCCCATGTACGTACACCTATAATGTGGAATATCCTTGTGGCTGGTTCATATGGAGCTTTAATTTGAACGTGTGGCATATTAAGCCTTATTGTGAAGCCTGGCAGGGCTTTAAAGGTGCTGGCACGTGGGGAGCAGATGGTATCCCTGTGTGCTGGCCAGTTTAAAGCCTTGTCATGGAGCCTTGTGTTGGCAGGTTAACATTTTATGTGGAATGTCTTTGTGGCTGGCTTGCCATTTTATTGTGTGATAAATTGGTTGAATGGTCTAGCATGTTACAATCCTCATATGATTAACATGTTAATCACATGATAAATGTAACATCTGCCAGGGGTCTAAGAAAACTGAAAAAAACAGACCCATCAACCCAAGGGAAGAAAGTGTACCTGTTTCATGATTTTCTAGGGAGAAGGATTGAGCTTTGTGGTGAATCTGTCCATAGGATTTACCATACAAATAAGCATCTTTCTGATTTTATTCATTCGTTCTTTCATGTTTCTATTTTTATATGTATACCTTTGCAGACAGTTGACAGGAACAGACTGTTGATTGTCTGTTTCCTTTTTTTTTTTTTAATGCAGTAAGCTCTGGAATCCAGGTACAGGCACAATCCTGTCATTTATAATGAAACTTTCAAAGTTTAGCAGTGATAAGAAGATGCAGAAATTTGTGTACCATATAAGATACTAGGCTAAGCCCCAAACATTAACATCTGAAAGTGAGCACTCTATGGGCGCGTCCAGATGAGCATGCACGTGCCTGTTGCCCCGCCTCAAGCCCCTTTTGAGGCGGGGCAGCAGGCAAGTGAGGGAACAAAAACATGTTCCGCACTCTGCAAGTTTGCAGCGCGGGGAGAAAATTAGATCCCTGGATATCCAGGGGTCTAAAAAAACCGCTCTGCGATAGAGCAGAGCAAGGCACGGTTCAACACCGTGCCTGGAGCCAGTCCTCCAAAAGAGACTCTCTGGTTTTGGCCGGAGTGTCTCTTTGTGTTTCTGCTGCCCCTGGTGCTGTCCAAGGTAAGTTGGGGGGGGAGGGGGTTCATGGGTGTCAGGTGGGGGTGAGGG